GAGTGAACAACAAAACAGTTTCCATTTCTATAAGTACAGTTGGACCATATACATATGAATTGGGAAGTTTGTAGTTATAAATTGAATGATAATCTGCCCGCCTTTTCAACACTAACACTTATTTCAAGGCAGCTGAAGCCTCCCAGCTCAGTTCAAGGTATATAGCTTTTTATTTCCCCACTTTTCTTTCCGCTTATCTTAAAGGAAGTTGTATTTAATACCATATTTTGTCAGATATAAGATCTTAAAGGAAGTTGTATTTAATACCATATTGTGTCAGATATAAGACCCTGCCAATAATTAGATTCTATATATGGAAAATTTATTATACTTTTCCAAGTATGGAATCTAATTGTTGGAGGTTTGCCTTTTAATTTGTCCCCTTCCCACTGCTGCAGCAGGGAAAGTAAATCTGGAGGGTTAGGTAGCTCCTTTGCCCTCTGCCCCCCAACCTCCCCAATTTCTTCCCCCTGCAGCCCTTCCCACCCTCTTCTTACTGTCAGACCTTGCTCTCCCTGAGCACATGGAAGTGAGAGGCCAATTTTAGAACACTGATCTTTAAATAAACATACATGTTCACTTTTGTAGTAATGCTATATTTATTGTTTCCTTGTCTTTAGAACAGTATTAGCTCTAAATACTACTAAAGATGAAAACGTTTCAATTGCATAAATCTCTTAGGAAATGAGAGTTGCAATAAACTAGCTAAAATGCCACAATCCAATACTTGCTGTCTTTTTAAAGACTGATCTTGCTGGATACAGTTCAAGTCCTGATCATTTTTATGTGGGTGGTTTGAAACCTGCTTAATTGAAGGCAGGTTGCTGAATTAAAGAGCAATTGCTCAGGTTTTTGTTGTCTTTTTTTAAAGCGGGGGGGCAACTTTTTAGTTTCTGTGCTTCAAATAACCCTGCACCCTCCCTGAGTACCACTTTCATAGAAGTCACAAAGTAGGACTAGATGGGACCTCAGGAGGGCATCTAGTCCAGACCCCTACCTAAGGCAACAAAGATCTTGTGTTTTGATTCCCTTCCCCTGACTGATTTGCTGCTCTGCTTTTTGCTTCTAGCCCTGTGCTCCCTGCCTAATCTGCTACTTGGCTTTCTGCTCCCTGCCCTTTCTGCCTCTGTGCTTCTTTCTCCTTCCCCAGTCTGCTTTGTGGCATGCAGAGGCTGCCTGTGCCACTTGTGGCACCCATGCTGAAGCTTGGCTACCCCTGCTTTAAAGGATGCTGCTTATCTACTCCTTTGGAGTTCACCAGCACACAATGGATTGCAAACATTCTTCTTTACAGGGGCAGGAAGAAGATAGTGGTAAGGAATCTACTCCTGCAAAATACCTGGGTTTTATTTAATAAAATACAAATGTCTGATAATTACAATGGGAAATACCTTTTGTGGAATTTATTGCAATGGGTTGGCTGATGATTTAGTAAATGTGAATAAGGGGGAAAGGCTTTCTTTCATTTGTAAATATAATATAGCCTATCTGCTCAGCTCTTCTTCTGGGAGTACAAGAAGGCAGTGATTTTTTTTTTTCTTCTAACTTTTGTCTCCATCACAGAGAGAGAGAGAGAATTAACTTTTGCTAACTAATTTTTTGTGTGCGCACATGTTTAAGGGTAACATTTTTAGCTATTAAAATTTTCTAAAAGTATAGGTTCTGTCCTTGAAATGTATCACCAATAGAAAGAGAGTGCCTGGAATAAATATGCTTGAATAGTAGTATTGAAGGTACAGTTGTTAGTCTTTCTCTCCACCTTGTTCTAGATGAAACTGAGTCAGGGTCACATGGAGAGGAGGAAGGGGCAAGATAAGTATTTAGGACCCTTTCCCATTCTTACCAAGGGCTTTATTTCAAATGTTGTAGCTGAGACTAGAACTCTGAAGCGGAACAAGCAAAAAGAGCTGCTGTTCATGAGTGCCACTTTTTTAGAAACTATGGGAAAGGGGGAGAAGTATTAGAACAGAGGCAGGCAATTATTTCAGGCAGAGGGCTGCTTACTGAGTTTTGGCAAGCCATCAAGGACCGCATGACCAGCAGCCAGGGGCAGATGAATATTAATTTTCTAAAGTTTTTAGGGGCCCTGTGGGCCGGATAGAATAGCCTGGCAGGCCACATCTGGCCTGCTGGCCATATTTTGCCCACCCCTGTATTACAACCTTGTACTTCCAGCTTATAGGCAAAATAGGAAGGATCAGACCCCTCCAAAGGACTGTATGAAAAGACAGTAGAAAAGAATGGTTTCAGCAGTACCCTAAGCATACAGTGGTATAGTTAACCAGCTTTAATGGGGAGGGGAAGCACCTAATTGGGAGCATGCCACAGCTGTTATAATCTGTTAGGTCTCAATAGCCCTGTAGCAATATGAGTTACCTAAATCACCTTAATTTAGATGCTGGATGAAGCATGGTTAAGTAGGAGCAGTTTACCATATAGATAACCCAATAGAATTATGCAGACCTAACACTTGCGCTGTAGCAGCTTATATCCATATCCTTTTGATAGTAATATGATCCTGCCGTCTGCTTATGCCCCTAAGTAAAAGCCATGAAATTTTTTTTCCTCATTCTAACAGGTGAGATCAGGGTTGTTGAATGTATGGCCTGTGGGCTGGATCTGGCCTGTGAGCTGGATGGAGCAATACAATCTGGGAGGTAGGGCTGCAGAATTCAGGGCTCGTGGGCCTGATGTTTATGGCTGTTGGAAATAGAGGAGCAAGAAGGGGCTATGTAGATACTTGCCCTACTGCCTCTGGACCCTAGCCCCTTTACATCCAGACCTCCTCCCCCTCCTTTGGCCCCACAGATCAGGTCTGGGGCCCAGGGTTAATTTGACATTATTGGTTTAGATAAGTAACCACACCTTTCAATTCTGAATTCACCAAAGTTGGGTAAAAACTAGCACTACATCTAGATAGCAGAAAATCTCTCCCTGCACTTCAGCAGTTCTAATCCAATCAATTACTAAAGAGCGACTAGAAATATGACTTTAAACTGATACTTACGTCCTAAATGTATGAACATTCTTAAATTCAATTCAAACCTCACTTCTCATTTTAGCTTAATAATGATACTTTTGCTTGCTTGTTTGTTTATTTTTTAAAGCAAGTAGATTTTAGGACTTGGTATAGCAGTCATTAATTGGGGAGCATTGCAGTGCAGACCATCATTAGTTAGATTAGTTTAGCCTTGTAGAATTCTGACAGCTGAAGTTCTAATTTAACTTGACTGTATTTCTCATTAATGCTCTCTATCCCTTTATCTGCTGATAATGGGTATTCACATGTTCTTAGTTATAAAAGCAATTTAGACCTGGAAAGTCACAGTGAATACTTGCTGGGATCCAAATCTAATAACAGCTGCTTATTCTGTTGTATTATTTTCAACTGGGGTAAAAAGACCGAACTCTCTTGGATAGCTACCTAACAAGATGAATACAGGCAAAAGAAATTAATCAAGCAAGCTATGTATTGCCATTTTTGTTTTGGATGAAAAGAAATGTGGTCACAAGGATGTGTAAAATAGCCTTGATATGTGGGTGTTTAGTACACCTGTTGAGTGGATTGCAGAGAGTATGTGCCCTTCTCTTCCTTCCCCATCTCTCCCTTCCCAAAAAAGAGCGCATGCCAAGATATCCATTATTAGATAAGGTTAAGCCCTTCAGGGTTTTAGTCCTGTTGTAAGTGGGCATTATGAGCTTCTAGTTCTTGTTGCTGAAGTCAGTAGTTCAGAACAAGGATCTAAAATCTGTTGTAGGTGAAAAAGAAAGAATGAATAAATGTTCTACCCACTGCACTTGCCCCTAGTTTGGTATTATTCAGTAACTGGACCCGTTTGAAAATGGTCACACAGTTCAGTCAAATGTTGCTTCTTTAGAAATGCCAGTATATGGCCGCCAAAGTAAGTGGGGGGATTTGAATAACGGTCACAAGTTATATCTTTTGAATTAATTTAGGGCAATGGGGTCCAACCTTTTTGGCAAGCATGCCATAAATTAGTCCTGTGCCCTCCTTGAGTGCTGTGCCAATTCCCTTCCTCTGCGCAGTCTGCTTTTCTGCTTCCTGCCCTGCCAGTGTGCTGTTTCTCAACCTCCCCCTTCTGTTGTCCCACATCAGAAGCTGCCTGTGGTACGTTGGCCAGCCCTGAAGTATGGGATCCCCCTGCCATTAGACACTGTTTAATAAAACCACTTTCCATACTTTGACTTTAAATTTGCCTACATAAGACAAATATAGGCAGAAAACAAGAAATTTCCTCTTGTAGATATTTCTTTCAGCTTTGGGTGGGGGAGGGTGGTAAAGGTAATGTAGGCCCTTTTTTGTTACCAGCTCAGCTTGCCAAGGCTTTCTCTACTTGTGACCTTGTTTTCTTCCAACTTCACTGGTCCTTCAGTTCTGATGTGGATCTGGATTCTTTCCCTCTTTGCATATCTTGTTCTGAATGAAACTTATTTTACTTAATTGTTACAACAGAAGGCTGCCTGGATCAAGGTCACATGGTAAATACTGTGCAGACATTAAGAGTCCCTGCCTCTTGGTGCTTACAATCTGAGGACAAAGTATTCGGACTTTGGAGAACAAATATTTGACTCCTAAATAAATACCCTGATTTTTTTTTCAAAGATTCCTAAGCTGGGTATAGGAAGTAAACTGCTGAATAAGATGTTAACTTTTCACCCTTCCCCTCCCCAGTAACATGTATCTGCTTAATACAGGGAGCGACAAGAATCTGGTGGAAAATAGTTAATCCTTTGTATGCTGTTGTCTTGAGATTTGTACTCGGAGTCATCATGTGATTGAGCTTGTTTCTGCTGATCTTACTGTGGGGTAGCCATCCTCTTAAGTTAAAGTTATATGTGATTTGTCCCTCCAGACTGCCAGACTTTTTGTTTTCTTTGAATACCCTTTCTTTTCTGGGTATTCTTGGCTTTTATAGTATGAACGATACATAAAAGGCAGTAATTCCTTTGTTAATCACTGTCTCTTGTATCCATCTCAGAAAATAATGGAGGGGTGAACAGCTCAGCCAAGTGAAGTTTGAGGCTTTTTAAGATGAAGTCTCACAGGCTGCTACAAAAAGACTGTTATCCTGCCCCACAAGTCCTCTGGCTGGCATCAGCCTTCCTGCTTACCTGGAGCAGATAGCTTGGGCCAAGGCTAGCCTGCCTAGTTTGCGAGGGGGAATTTGCAGGGGGAAGTGCAAAGCATCCTGGGATGCTGACGAACTGTGAGTTAACTTGAATCTGGAGGGGATCTGGGACAGAAGTTCAATAAAGCAATTTAACCTAAATCAGTTAAATCTGACACTGCATTGACCCAGGTTTATCTCAAACTGGTTTCAGCCATTTTGAAAGAGGTTTATATGCACTGATCTAACATTGTGTTACAGATGTGTGCCAGTTTCCGATTACTTTATACCAGTTTATGTGTAATTTCTGTCCCTCGCCATTGTATTTATCAGAACCCTTTTGGGGTAGTGTTTCTCACAAAGCTTCTTGCTGTGGCAGCCGGGGCTGCTGTCTGCAGTGAAGCAGTTAATGTTGCCACCATGATTTAAGCATTCATGGCCACCAGCTAAGTTGAGTTGAATTCCCTGTTCTGCACTACAGAAATAACTTGTAAACCTAAAGAATCTGTTGTCTATAAGAAGTGTCTTCAAACTATATGTCGATTAAAGAAAATCATGGACATGAATAGACACAGGTGATATATTGGGTATAATATATCAGCCCTTCCTTGTACAGGATTGATGTGCAAAATAGTTTATACACAAACACTTAAATGGAACCAAGAGCAGAGCTTCCAACTTAGAGCAATGCTAAAATATTTCATTTTCAATTTTCATTTCAGTGTATTTATTGGTTGTGTGAAAATAAAACCTCTTATATGAGGGGGTAAAAAGCACCCTGTTCAAATTCGCAGACGACACGAAAATGGGGGAAGTGGGCACGCTAGAAGGGAGGAATAGGCTGCAATGGGACCTAGACAGGTTACAGGGGTGGGCGGAAGAGAACAGGATGGGTTTCAACACTGACAAGTGCAGGGTGCTGCACCTGGGGAGGAAGAACCAGCAGCATACCTAGAGGCTTCTTGTCAGTGCAGAGGCAGAAAAGGATCTTGGAATCATTATTGATGCCAAAAAGAACATGGTCCGACAGTGTGGGAATGTGGTCAGGAAGGCGAACCACACCGTGTCATGCATCCTGCATATCAAGCAGGTCCAAGGAGGTGATCTTCCCCCTCTACGCGGCACTGGTCAGGCCACAGTTGGAGTACTGCGTCCAGTTCTGAGCGCCGCACTTCAGGGGGGATGTGGACAACATGGAGAGGGTCCAGAGGAGGGCCACTCGCATGATCAGGGGGCAGCAGGGCAGGCATTATGAGGAGAGGCTATGGGACCTGAGCCTGTTCAGCCTCCACAAGAGGAGGCTGAGGGGGGATCTAGTGGCCGTTTACAAACTAGTCAGAGGGGACCAGCAGGCATTGGGAGAGCCCCTGTTCCCCCGAGCACTCCCAGGAGTGACTAGAAATAATGGTCACAAGCTGGCAGAGGGTCAGACTAGGTATCAGGAGGTGCTATTTCAGAGTCAGGGCGGCTAGGATCTGGAACCAACTTCCAAGCAAAGTGGTGCTGGCTTCTACCCTGGGGGTCTTTAAGAGGAGACTAGATGAATACCTTGCTGGGGTCGTTTGACCCCAGTACTCTTTCCTGCCATGGCAGGGGGTCGGACTTGATGATCTGCTCAGGTCCCTTCAGACCCTACAAACTGTGAAACTGAAACTATACAAGCACTTCTGAGCTTCTGTACAGCTAAAGGTATTATAGAAAGTTCATTTACATATTCAGTAACAGAATATCTGTCACTTTTGTCTTGACAGGTGTACCAAAGTCTAATCTCCTACATACAAGATCATTAAGGGGGCACAGAGACTGCTTTGAGAAATTCCACTTAATAGCAAACCAGGATTGCCCACGATCAAAACTTTCCAAAAGTACCTATGCAGAAGTAAAAAACATCTTGAGCAAAAAAATTAACCGGATTATACAGTATGCACAAAACAAGGATTTGGACTCTGATTCTGAAAGCTCAAAAACATCCCAGCACCAGCTTTTTAACTTCAGACATCAGACAGACAGAAAACTGCTCCCACAGTTTGATTCCCCAGTACCCAGGTACTCTGCAAAATGTATAGATGGAAATTCTGGGAGCATTTCAAACTGTTCACAGAGTATTTTTGAACCAAAAGAATCCACTGATTTCAGACTCGATATGTTGCAAAAAACTGGTGCTACATTTCACTGCAGTAGTGTTTTGTGGGCTAGTCGCAGCCAAGCACAGAAGACAGAAAATGCTGAAAGTGATTTGGATACCAGTGTTCAAAGAAGATGTCCCCATTATAGCAGGGAAGAACGTAAGTAGAGGGGAAATGAGCTAGTGCTGTTTAGCTTCTTGCTATGTTCTGCGTAGTTTCTTCAGTCTCTTGACCAGTTCAGAGAGCTTGCCTGTTGCTAGTGAACATAAATCAGTGCATGGTAGGAAAAGATGATTATTGTGAAGCTAGGAAAACTAGTTTTCAGGAGGCTATACTACCAAGTGAATCACTGTGGATTGTATATTTTTGTTTGTGAACCCAATTTAACCTACCATGCGTCTTATACTAAAAGAGAGCTCTTGGCTGAAATTATTAGAGGTACATCGATGCATCGGTCTGATATCGGATCGGCATCAATATAAAGAAAATTGTCTATATCAGATATTGGCCTGATGGGGCCAATAATTTGACTGATAAATGCCCATGCTGCGCACAGCCACAGAGTACCATGGAGCAGAGCCAGCAGAGTGGAAAGCTGCCTCCAGCTGGTAAATTGGAAGCAGTGGAGGAGGTAGGGAAGGGGTGTGGAGGGGCAGATCACTGCCTCCTGTGGTGAGGGAGGGGGCAGGTGCTGCCCAGTGGGGGGGTGCCCCTGGATTTGCACAGGGTGGGTGACAGCTGCGGGGTGGAGCTAGAGATGGTGCTGTGCGGCCCTTCTTGCTAGGGGCTGGGCTCCGAGCAGGCTTCGGTGGTGCTGGGAGGAGGCTGCAGCCCCTTTTCCCTGTGCTTCGGTGGAGGTGGGGCATTTAGCTGGAGCTGCGCCAGGCAGCAGTGTTGGTCTAGAAGTGGAGCTGCAATACAACCTAGGGTGGCTGCAGCCCCCTCCCAGTGCCACCGGAGTGTGCTCTGAGCCGAGCCCCTGGCAAAAAGCCCCATGCAGCGCTGGCTCTGGCTCCACCCCACAGCTGCAGCCTGCCCTGCTCCACACAGATCCAGGGGTACATGCTCCCTGCCCCCACCCTCCCAGGGTGCAAGCAGCTGCCTGCCCCCTCCCCTCCCTCACCATAGGGGGCATTGATCTGCTCTGCCATGCCCCTTCCCTTCCCCTTCCTCTTCCACCATACTGGACTTACCACCTGATGGCAGTTGTATCAGATCAATATTGGTTGATATGCCTCCTTAAATATCAGCATCAGCCCCCAAAATCTCTATTGGTGCACCCTTAGAAATTACCCTTTTAATGTTATTTGCCAGGGATGGGTAATCCTGCCAGTATGTTACTTCCAACAGCAATCTTATTGTCTCCTACTGACATCCCTGAGATGCATTTTAGAAGCCAAACTCTTTGGTTTAATGATTAGGGAGGCTAGTGAACTTTGCAGGGAATCAAAATGTGAAAAGTAACATTTAACTTTAAAGATGCCTAGAATGTGGAAAATATTGTTTAAGGTGTTTACCTGCCAGTAATATAGGTTATGTAGGCCTTATATGCTAACATAACTCTCAAATGTTTTTGCTCGTAGCATTTCTTGATGGGGAAGTAGGAAAAAATACACTAGTTTTCATTCCCGTAAGAATTTGTGCACTTCTCCTTTCCTGTATTAAGTTCTTGAAGGTTAAAACAATGCCAGTGGGATGCCTTTGTAAATAAGAGAAGTATACTTTGTAGATATACAAATGAGCAGTGCAGCTGACAGACAAGTGATTGTTTCTGTGCTGCAGTCTTTGCTAGATGCAGTTTCTACTGTGTCCCGAGTCACGGAATTTAGAATTTGCATTCCCTTAATCACAGGTGAATCTGTTTGATTGTGACTATTAAAGCAGAAAAAGCATGGCTTTAGGGGATGGAAAAAATAACACACAATGAGGTAATTAAAAGCTGTATATGCACACTTGCCCAGACTAGTGTCAGTTCAGATGCTGCTTTTGAAAGCTTCAACTATGAGGAGAAACTGAGGGACCTAGATCTCTTCAGCCTTTGCAAGAGAAGGCTGAGAGGTGATCTTGTGGCTGCCTACAACTTCATCAGGGGTGGGCAGCAGGGAATAGGAGATGCTCTATTTACTAGGACAACCCTGGAGTAACTAGGAACATTAGCCACAAATTGACGGAGAGCAGCTTTAGGTTGGACATCAGAAATAACTTTTTCACAGTAAGGGTTGCCAGAATCTGGAACGGGCTTCCAAGGGAAGTGGTGCTGTCCCTTACCTTGGGGGTCTTCAAGAGGAGACTGGACAAGCACCTAGCTGGGGTCATCTGACCTCAGTGCTCTTTCCTGCCCAGGGCAGGGGGTTGGACTTGATGACCTACCGAGGTCCCTTCTGACCCTAACATCTATGAATCTATGAACTTTTAACACTTAACACAGGGTTTTGTGTGAAATGGGTATGTAAATTAATGCAACAGTTACAGTTGAGTTAGAAGAGTGAATCTTCAGACATTGACAAATTACGGCTAAGCAGTGTTGTTCTTGACTTACCTGAACAGCTGTATTTAGGGTACAAATAAATAATTTTGAGGGACTGACAATCTGCTTACTAATGCTTGTGTTTAATATTTGGCTTCTCTGGTAATGATAATGGGGTTTTTTGTTACAGTGAGTACAGTGACTCTTGGAGAGTTAGAGCAACTAAATAAAAAGCTTCTCAAGCAAGTACAGGGTAAGAACTTTTAAATTGCCTTATGGTTTTGCAAAAAAATATCATTTGAAAGAAAACTGTGATGGCTATGATGGTTTTAAATTTTGATCCAAAATCCACATGAACCTAAATACCAGATCAAAGAAGTAAAAAATACTTAACTACACTTTGATATAATACATGCTCTTATCATGAAATTACTTCCATTCTTGAAGAAATTCCTTTCATTTTCACTTGTGTGTGTGTAAATTAGTTTAATTTAATATTTGAACTTTCCAAATCTATATAGTTTGGCTTGCTTAAGTGTAAAGTCTGCTAGGGTCCTTAGTTTTGGCATATGAATTCATGGGCTCTGCTATTGAAACTTTAGACCTGTCCCTTTTAAATATTTTTGAGACTTTCAATTAACAATATGACTAGTTAGATTAACCTGCTAATCTTCTTACAGATGTTTTTGAGGAGCTGACACGCCAAGTTCAAGAAAAGGACTCCTTAGCCTCCCAACTTAACGTCCGTCACATTGCTATAGAGCAGCTGCTTAAGAACTGTTCTAAATTGCCATGTTTACAAGTGGG